GTGAAAATGCAGCATGTTCAGATCTCCGTACGGTGAAAATGCAGCATGTTCAGAGCTCCATATAGCAGCACTGTTGCTACGTGTCCACGTTAAAACTCCACTCTCGTCACAAACGGAACCGTTCGGTTCTCAGGCGGCCATGTTGAATCCGCTCAGTCCCGAGAGGTAAAACCGTCCTCAAGTCGTCCACACGGGGACGTTTTCATGCAGCAGAGACACGTGACGTCACCCGTTGAAATGCTACAACGTTAACTTGTGCCGTGAGTGCAGGTGGCAGCAGCAGCTAGCTGTAGCGCTTCGGGTGCTTCCTGTAGGACTTTCAGAATCTCGGGTCAAGTCGGGTTCTCGCAGCGAGTCTTTGAGCCGTGGTCGTTGGCTGACGGGAACAGAATGAACTCATCGAGTCTTAATTAGTTTAAATTAAATTAATTTACCGTTGGTCCGATACCTCTGTCCAATCTTTGACAAAAGGGACTCTGCGGTCATTTATTCAGCAGAGTCCGAACCTGGACCTCATCTCAAGTCTTAAGGTCGTAGGGCACGGATTGAAAAATGACAAAAATTAGATTTAGTCAAAATATGATCATCTCATGTATTAATAAATGTAATCAAATTAATTCTGAAGCACGTTTTAAAGAACTTGTCAGAAACTGATTGTGAACAAACAGCAGCTGAGAAATCCTGATTTCCAAAAAGAATCTGAGGATTCGTCAAGAAATCCTGGTAGAAAACACTAAAAATACGATTCAGACCCGTTTTTCAGGAATTGATCGATCGGCGAGACAAAACTAGGAAAAAAAAATCTGAGGATGTGCTGCGTTTGGTTTGACATAATCCCTGATTTAATGCGACGGGTAACAGATTAGCAGCAGACGCGAGATTCGATGAAATCTTTCAGGTAAATTTCTGACGACCGCAGCTTCACTGACCTTTGACCCCGAGAGACGAGTGGCTGAGATTTGTCCAAACATTAGGATTTAATCCACGGCCGTAAACTTTAGAAATGAAGACGGGAAGATTAGGCTTAGATTATAATAAATTATTTTTTATTATTTTTTTATGACTGGAGATTTTAGATCTGCAGCTTCAGAAGTTTTCTGTCGTCGGAGAACTTTCAAAAGAGAGTTAGAACTGACCGAAACTAAATTAAGACAGGTCTGGGACAAGTCAGGGACATGTTGGAGACAAGTCTGAGACAGGTTGGAGACAAGTCTGAGACAAGTCTGAGACAGGTTGGAGACAAGTCAGGGACAAGTCAGGGACATGTTGGAGACAAGTCAGGGACATGTTGGAGACAAGTCTGGGACAGGTCGGAGACAAGTCTGGGACAGGTCGAAGACAAGTCTGGGACAGGTCGGAGACCGGTTTAGGACATTTAATGTGCTTTTTATGATTGTCTGTTGTCGTCTGTACCTCCTCTGTGTTCTTTGTTTAAAGCAGGTCTCTCTTGTCCTGAGTCCTCGTGACTCAGTGAGACTAACCTGTAGAAATAAAGTCTGAATGAATGTTGGAGACAAGTGTGAGACAGGTTGGAGACAGATCTGGGACGGGTCTGGAAGACTCTCGGTCTGTTTCTAAAGATAAATGTGTCACTCTGGTTTTTTGTGAACTTGTTACAAAATTCACGTGACGAGTGACGAGAAGAAATGTAGAAACGTGGCGAACACTTGGAGACAGAATGGAAACAGCCTTTATTGTCCCACCGATGGGAAATTCAAGATTGAATTTGAAAAGACGAGATCTTTTAGACTCCAAATTGGACGTGGATCTCTGAGACACAGCCCACTGAGAGACCACCTTAAATGTCCCAAATGTCCCTTAAACCTGAGGACGGTATGACCCGAAGCCCACCGGCCGGCGATCGGAGCCGTCTCCAGAAACTTTGTTTTTTGGACACTCGATCCAAGCGTTGTGTCTTCCATCAGGTCTTCCTTGGGAGGATCAGGACTCCTCCTGGATCTTCTGCGTCCATCAGGGATTAAAGTCTGTCGTCTGATGGAGACAGGAGGGAAGACAAGATTATCAGCGATGGACGTTTTCTTCCTAAAGGACATCCTGCGGGCCGTCTCCTCGGTTCTGAACCGTCCACTCCGAGTCCTGTTAGAGTCCAGGTGACGGCGCTACAGAAGTTTGGAACAAAACTTTCAGGTCCTCCGAGACGTCCCGACAGGAAGTCTGAGACGAAAATCATCTGAAGGACGTCACTCGTCCTGCGACTCGTCCGTGCTCAGAGCACGTGGGGAGTATCAGTCTCGGCTACTACCACACCGAGCTTCAGCTCATCCGACCGCGTCAGAGCCGTTTTATCTTCTCCAAGGCTGACGAGCTGTGGCGGCCATCTTGAACCAGCTGACAGTCGTTTCGTTACCACCAGTCCAGTGGTTCGTGAGATATTTTGCTAACACAGGCTGTATAAAAAAAGCTTTTTGACCTTCGTGGATCTTCTGTGAAATTTCCCTGAAACATTTTTTTAAACGATGTGAGTGAAAAGTTTGAAACGTCCGGCGCGGCGATGGTCCGGCGTGCAGACGGGTCGGAGCAGCAGACGGTTCTGGTCTTTAACCGCATGTTTGGAACATGCACTCCGGCTGCCTGCCGCCATCGCAGCCTCCGTCAGCGTCCTCTGCCGAGGCGAAGCCCCAGCTGCCCCGGGGCTTCGAGTCCGTCCCGGTCCAGTCCTGGGTCTAGTTGACCCGGATCCCCGAGATGAACGGCAGCCCGGTGGGAACTCTCCGTTTATACTCCACGTAGTCGTCGGTGAAGAAGTGGATCAGGGACAGCTCCTCCTCCTCGATCCGCTCCCGGAAGAACCGCCAGCTGGCTATCGTGTAGCCCAGGACGCACACGGGGTTACACAGCATGACCTGCAGGGGCCGACAGCGCCGTTAGCAAACAGCCGCGACGAGAGCGGAGCGAGCCGAAGGTCAGAGGGCCCACCTGAGTGCCGATGCTCCAGTAGAACCAGCCCACGTAGGACGGGTGTCTGAAGAAGGCGTAGACGCCGCTGGTGACCAGCACGTGGCTCTGGGCCTTCTCGTTCTGAACGATGTGGTTGAAGTTGGAGCCCGCCGTCAACATGGCCGCCTTCCTCAGGCCCTCGCCGCACAGCACCATGAGCAGACCGACCAAACTCAGCCAGTTGGACTGCTTGAGCTCTGGGGGTGGAGACAGGTGGATCAGAAGAACCCAACGGTTCTGAACAGAACTTCTAGTGACCGATGAAACCCGCTGACCCACCTGGAACCGTGAGCTTCTCCACGGTGAACTCGAGCCACGACGACACGGCGGCGAGCGTGTACTCCACGCTGTGGTTCAGCAGGAAGGAGTCGAGCGACAGGCTGCGAGGGTTGATGACGGCCGTCACCAGGTACTCCGAGTAGTGGAAGAAGGACAGGGAGCACATGTACCTGCAGGAGGACGAGGACACACGGTGGACCGGACCTCAGCTACAGGCGTTAGACGCGACATGAATCAAAGAACGTCGTAAAACCAGTTTGAAGTCCGGCAGTTAGAAAAGTCACCGAGATGAAAACATGACTCGAGTCTCTCTGGAACTTTCTGTGATTACTCAGGGCTAAGAGCGGCACGGTGGATCAGCTGGTAGAGCCGCTGCCTCTCAGCAACAAAGCCGCCAGCTCAAATCCAGGCCCGGGGGCTCTCTGGGTGGAGTTAGCATGTTCTCTCCGTGCTGCGCGGGTACTCCAGTTTCCTCCCACAGACCAAAAACATGCACGTTAGTCTGATCGGTAACTCTAAATTGTCCCTAGGTGTCCCTGAGATGGACTGGAGACATGTCCAGGTGTCCCCCGCCTGTTACACAGTGACTGTTGGATGTGGGCACCAGTGAGCCCCCGTGACCCGAAAAGGAAGAAGTGGGTAAAGAGGGAGAGAGGGAAGGATGGAGGGATGGATGGAAGGATGGATGGAGGGAAGGATGGAGAGACGGATGGAGGGAAGGATGGATGGAGGGATGGATGGAAGGAGAGACGGATGGAGGGATGGATGGAAGGATAGATGGATGGATGGAGGTATGGAAGGATGAATGGATGGAGAGTCGGATGGAGGGAAGGATGGATGGAGGGATGGATGGAAGGAGAGACGGATGGAGGGATGGATGGAAGGATAGATGGATGGATGGAGGGATGGAAGGATGAATGGATGGAGAGTCGGATGGAGGGAAGGATGGATGGAGGGATGGATGGAAGGAGAGACGGATGGAGGGATGGATGGAAGGATAGATGGATAGATGGATGGATGGAGGGATGGAAGGATGGATGGATGGAGGGATGGATGGATGGATGTAGGCTCAGGGGCCGGACATCCAGCAGTTATCGTCAGTAACTTTATTTTTACCATTTTAAATGTTTCATTTAAAAAGGAACGCACCGGTGGGCCGAGCTGAGCTCACCCGTGGACCCGATTTGGCCCCTGGACCGTCAGTTGAAACACGTCGTTCTCTTAATTCAGATCAGCTGTAATTAAACACGAGACGTCCAAAACTGAGAATGTTCAAATCACCAAACGTCCCGGGAACGTTCAGGTGACCGGCAGCTGCAGATTCTTGTTCAGTCATTTTGTTGTTTTTGGAACTTTTCCAAGATGAAAGTATTTTTTACACACGAACATAAGAGGCAAGAAAATCTTCAAAACAGAGACTGAAGTAAAAACTTCTGGCACATTCTGAGAACGGCGTCAGACAAAGCTGGTTCCTGAAGTCCAGATGTTGGTTCTGGTTCTGGTCTGGATATCCATCAGACCCACAACGTGTTCCGGTATTTCTCCGGCTTCCATTTCCACTGATGAACAACACGACTGTAACCTCACGCTGCGTCCTACAGCGCTGTCTGGCACTGATGACATCATCAACCAGTGACGGTAACTCTGACCTCACATTCTCCTCGTTTCTGGATTTTAGCACAAAAACACTAAAAACAAGTCGTCACGTTCTTAAATTAGAGAAATTGGCCACTGGTGTGGAAGAGTTCAACTAAAAGAGAAACAAGAAAACTCGTTTTGACATTTCTTTTCATCTTTTTGTTGTGTTACGATCATTTTGTCGTTTTAATTTTAGCAGGTAATAAATCAATAAAACCATGTGGTGAGATTCATACGGACCAGCCGAAGTGTGTCCACGTGGTTTCAGAGAAGCTGATGATTAATCCGCAGCCGAATGTAACTCCCAGGAAGCAGGCCCTTACCGCCACCTGAAACGGGTCAGAACACGGGTCAAACAGCAAAACACAACAACACGGTTTAACTGGGACGAGTTTCTAAAAGAGGTCAGGACGTTTGGACTCAAAAAGAAAAACAAGTCCAAGTTTTACACGTTAACTCATCCGTCCAGTCATCTACAACAGATAAGATACTTACCGTTAAAACCTCCCCACTGAATCCCATTTCTAAATCTGAACTATCCTTTAAGGTTTGGTCATTCTGTTAAACTCGCCACCGTGAAAGATTTCCCTGTCGACCCAACAAAGAAAAAGCCAGCTCAACCCAGAACCGGCTCCAACAGTCACTTTAGCAGACACGAAGCTAAAATTAGGTGTGGTAGTAGCTGAGAGTCGTTCACAACACATGCTGCGAGTGCTGACTGAGCAGAGACTTCTGATCAACCACTCCCTTCATACTGGTGCAGAAATACATTTTAAAAAGTGCGTCGTCACAAAGCAAGACGCTCTCCATCAGAACCAAACAAGAACTCCAGGTAAAATATAAAAAATACTATTTATTGAAGGAAACGGATGAAAGCGTCACCTCGAGCAGTAAGGTGCTGATAAACGTGTATATTATAAAATCATTAAACTAAGTGATCAAAGCCAACAAATATTGTTTTTAAACAACTGATGGCACTTTTGGAGCTCCATACAAACAGACTTAGCGCGTGGACATTAGTTGAATCTAACGAGCTTAAGTTTCTATCTTTAGGACGTCATCCGTCCCTAACAGGATTGACCTACTAAACAGGAAGCGGAGAGGACTTAATGAGCCAACATCTAAACTGGGACCGAGTCTTTGCAGACACCCGAACAGCGTTTGAAGTAAATAAACCCGTGAAAACCTCCGAGTCTGCGGGAAAGTGAACGCAGCTTCCGGTCTCTTACCTTGTAAAGAGGTCCTCGGTAGATGACCAGCAAAAGGCCGTTAACAACCGCTACGTAAACACAAACCGCGATCTTCCCGGGAGTTTCCGTCAGATAGTCAAAGACCCAGTCCAAATGTCCGAACCAGGTTCTGAGGAGCGGGATTAAAACGACGCCGAGCCCCAAAACAAAAGCTTTTACACTTACTCTGCCTTCCAACACCAACTTACTGCCGGCCATGATGGAAGTCCCGTCATGTCCCCAAGTCTCGCGATATTTCGTCTCCAAGGACTGACGGAGTGCTACGTTTAAAGTCCCTCGGAAAACTCAACCTCCAACCCTCAGCGTTAATCTTGTAGCTACCATCGTGTTAACGGTTATTATCACGTATTTATTTTTATTACATATGGTGCCATGTTAGTTATTTACAAACACTGATGAGTTAATAAAAGATAAGAGAATGAGCAAGCTATTAGCCATTAGCAAGTCAGTTAAGCGATAAAAAGTCCAACTGTTGCCAAGAGGTCAACTTGTGCAGAGAAAGATTGTGTTCAGACGCAAATATTAATAAATTTAGCTTGGAAACTTGTTTGATTAGGTAAAGAGACGTTATGTTTTATGTACAACAAAGATTTGCAGCTTATTCTAAACTATTTGTTACCATTTATTTAGTTGAATATGTACTGTGTGCATAAAATAACATTCTTTAAGTTTAGGAGCAACAAATAAAAATAAAATGAAACTCTGAAAGATGTACAGAAATTCTAGAGTTGTTCAAAAACATCTTATAAATGAATGTTTATAGCTTGAAAATAAAAAGAAATCGGAAGTGATGTTTGCTTATTTATTGAGTCATGCTACGATAAGGTTTATTTAGATTTGTTAAAAATAAACAATTTATTAAACATTAATTATCAGTTGTGTAATAATCAGCAGTTAAACTTAAAGTAATTAAAAAAAAAAGGTTTCAGAAAACCTAGTTAAAAATAGTTGTTTATTTGTTTATTTAAGGAGTAGAGACTTCCTGGGGTCCACACTTAAAACATTGCAATTAAAAAGATTACGGTGGTTTTCTTTCCTTTTCGTTTTGAGGGAGAAAGCTGAATTTCCCATGGCCTATGAATGCAACATTACTTCAGATTTTAGTGAAATCCTCTAAAAGCTCAAAGTTTTTAATGATTTACAGCTTAAAAACTGAACGGATCATGTTTAACAGATTAACAGTTAAATGTAACAATGGACGTGGAGACAAAAATAGGAGCTACAATAAAAATTAACGATTAAAATTTTAAAACATTTTATTTCTCCATATGTTCTCACGTTCTGGCTTTAATTTCCTACGGAACAAACTGAATAAACATTTTGATACCAGATCAAATGCACTTCAGGTAATTCTGCTTAAAACATTTTTAAAAGCACGACTGGTTCAGCGGTTTTATTTCTCCAAACTTTACAAATGTACACTTTTGTTTTAAACTAAACTGAAGGAAACTGAAAGATCTGACGGAGTTTTTATTGTTTCTGTGATTTTCTCCTGCTTCTCCTCAAAAGATGATGAGATCTGGAGACTTTATTTGATGAGAAACACTTTAAATATTTCGTTAACTCGGACCGTTTAAAAATAAAATAAAAAGTCAGCACTTTGACGTTGATTGATGTTTAGGGGAAAAAAGAAAATATTTAATTTAGTAAAGTAAAAAAAACCTCAAAGTTTTGAGTTTTGTCCATTTCTGATGAAAGATCCATGACAATGAGTTACATGATCACCCATCCTGTCCCTCAGCGGTCGGTCGAGTCGTCGGTCCTGTTGGACCTCAAAGTCCAGAAACAAACTACTTCCTGTCGCTTCTGAAGAAAAAACTGGAAATCTTGCTTTGCGTCTTCGAAAGAGACGAATCTGAAAAATCCAAGAAAGATTTTATGAATATTAAAAGTGAAATATTAAACTCAGCAGAAAATCAGGACTTCCTTCCGTAAAAATCTGTGACGGAGATAGACTTTTATTTTGAAAAGTAGCATTTATTTTATACTTACATTTATTTGTGCTTAAAGTTTTTTTGTTGGACTTTAAATATCAAACTTATTTTGGTTTTATCCAGTTTGAAACCTAAAAATTATAATCAGGACTGGTCATGATGGAATAATAAAACAAAACAGAATTATTATTATTTTTTTTTTTATAAAGAGTCAGAATCTGCTGAGTCGCTAGTTGCCATGGAGATTCCCGCCTTTCTGAGGAAAAGGGGGAGGGGCATCACTCCTTTTAGAGCTCGAGCCTCAAACTGCTGCTTTGGGAAATCTGCGAGTCGGATCAAAAAATAAAAATAAACATTTATGACCCGTGAGCGTCAGAAGGTTCTGACCTGTGGTACCACAGGTTCTGCTGGTACCACAGGTTCTGCTGGTACCACAGGTTCTGTTTTATATCTCCACAGTGTTTATGGAGGAGAATGAAAGGTTACAAACAGCCTTCACTTCCTGTTTGGAAGAATGATTCTGAGCTCAGACACAGTGGACGTCAACGGGAGTTTGACCTCTGAGAGGAACCAACTGTCCTGCAGCAGGGACAGAGGGACAGAGGGACTGAGGGACGAAGACAGAAAGACTGAAGACTGGAGGAGACGTCTAAAGTTTGTGGAAATACGAGTTGGAGAGTTCTGAGACGTGTTTGTGATGTTAGTTCACTGGTCCTGACCGAGCCGCATGTTTAGCTGTTTTCGATCTTCACCTTGTTGTTTTTGTTGTTGCTGCTCCTCGTTCAGAACCTCAGCAGCTGAACCGGGCTGACCAATCAGAGCGTCCAGCATCTCCTCATACCGCTTCTTGTGATGAGGGCGAACGAACATCCCGAACCCTTTAAACACAAACTCCGATTCAAACCTTGGACCGTTACGAAGAATCGGGTGCGAGGAGAACTCCAGGAACTCACTGATCAGCAGGTGGAAGTCCTCGTCCCGCTCCGTGAACAAGCTCACCACCGTGGTCACCAGGTCCTCGTAGCTGTCCGTCTTCTTGTAGCCGTGGACGGCCTGGAAGAGCCGAGACGTCTTTTCTGCTCCGAGGGCCGATTTCACATCGGCCAGGAAAGCAGAGTGGACTTGGTTCTTTGGAGCAGAACCTGGTCAACAGAATCAAATCAGAAGAATCAAATCAGAAGAATCAAATCAGAAGAATTAAATCAAAAGAATCAAATCAGAAGAATCAAATC